AGCCTGCCGAACACTTATTACACGTGTTCCAGAATCATTTCTCTTTACTTAGGGCAAAGGTTATAGGACATTTCTGCAGGATAACACTACCAGTGGTATCAAAATTGAAAGGATGTTGCACAAATGTTGCACATGGGTTATTATTGAGGTTTTTTATATATCCTTGATCACTTGTGGCCACTAGACTTGGGGTCAACACCACTTTCCTCTTAAAAGGAGTGTTAATATGACATGACATCATTGAATCCCTGGTGTTTGCTATGCTGTTTGCTCTAGCTGGCACTCAATTGAGCTGGTGCTCCCACAAGGCACTAAGTGGTCCAGATTTTTTTAATACTGCGCATATTGAGTGTTAAGACCCATTTGACTCTGACAGGCACTCAGGCCAATTCCAAATTTGGGCAGGTCTGGATATGGCTGAAAAGAAACATCTGAACTGTTTATCTGAGGACTTTCAGACGTGTATTAAATGTTGAAATTGGTGAAAAGTTTCATTGAGGTCTACCCTGCCTTTGTTGGGCCAGCGACATCTGTAATAATTTCAGTAATTTTTTTTTATTATTAAAACTAAGTTAAGTCTCCTCACAAGATCAGCATTTTAAGGAATGCCAATTTCACAATAAAGTAATTCTCCATTTATATGCTTGGCTACTAATGGTCAGAATTGAATTAGGCAGAGTCAGCAAGAATCTAGCATATGCCATTAAATGGTGAGCCAATAATAAAGAACTTAATGCACTAAAATAGATCATTGATGCTATGGATGTAAGTTCATTTATTTATATGCAATCATTTTGTATTTTTTATTAAACTAAAAAAAATTCCTTAATTTGGCTTTCATTAATAGTAAAAATGGTGCAATAATTTTTATCATAGGCCAAAAAGTAAATGTATATTTGAGTTACTTTTTTTGTGTGGGTGTTTTTTGTAGCTTATTGAATGGTTGACTTCACACCTCGACCAACTAATTAGTACATTATCTTTTAGTTATGCAAGACATTTAAATCTGTATGTCAGAAGTTTTCCATTTTTTAATAGAGCATTAAGTCCTTGACATGTTATGTAAAACATAGATTCCTTTGTCGGCGTTATTTAGTGTATGGTTTCCATCCATTTCCTTATCTGTCCCTTCTGTTCACTCTGGATTTACTTTTTACTGAGTAGCACATTTTATCATGTTGAGCATTGTTATGTGGCTACCTTGTTTGTGACTTGTTTAATCGGAACCTCTGGTCCACCTTAATTCGTTACAAAACTCTGGTTGCAACTCGATTTAGTCGTGTCCTGATTTGTTCGTGTTTGGAAGCGTTAGTGACCAGAGGTACCACTGTACTGGTCTCCAGGTTATGACAACTTATCTTTTGTTGAAAGTCCTGCTGAGTGCTTTGTTCAGGGAGTTTGCTACTCTTAATATTCCATACAATGTCTTGTTAGGCTTCATTGGTTTTGATGTGTTCAACTCTTTCAAAAGTGCTACAATCAGTGGAAATTTAAAAAAAATATATGATTTACTTCAAAAAGGAATTAGGTCTCCACAAGCATAGCTCTGCTACTGTAGTTACTAAATGATCAGGAGATGTGCTCGGTGTTATACCCACCCCAAGATCCTTTTCCTTGAGTGAGGTTTGCAGTTTTTGGCCACCTAGCCTATACTTTGTCTGTGTTTTTTTTTTTTTTTTTTGCCCTTTCCCTATCTTCGTGACTTTGCATTTGCATTCAAGGAGCCAGTTGCTGAACCAGGCTTGCAGCCTGTCCAGGTCCCTTTGTAGTCCTGCCTGATCCTCACCCAGTTTAATTTTCCTCATTAACTTGACATCATCTGCAAACAGGGACACTTCTGAGTCTATCCTTTCCATCATGTCATTCACATATTCCAAAAAAGCACGGGTCTTAGGGCTGACCTCTGTGGAGCCCCATTTGTCACAGGTGCCCACTCTGACACCTCGTCACGTTCCATGTCTCGTTGTTGCCTCCCTGTCAGGTATTCCCTGATCCATTGCAGTGCCCTTCCTGTTATGCATGCCCGATCATCTAGCTTTTTCACTAATCTCTTGTGAGGAACTGTGTCGAAGGCCTTCTTGCAGTCCAAGAAAATGCAATCTACCCACCCCTCTCTTTTGTGTCTTACTTCTGTTACCTTGTCATGAAACTCCAGTAGGTTTGTGACACAGGCTTTTTTTTCCCTGAATCTGTGCTGGTTATCGTTTATAAGCTTATTCTGTTCTAGGTGCTCCACCACTCTCCTCCTGATTATCTTCTCCATGGCTTTGCATGCTATACACATCAGTGACACAGGTCTGTAGTTTAGTGCCTTGTGTCTGTCTCCTTTCTTAAAAATGGGGATTACATTTGCCGTCTTCCATACCTCAGGTAGTTGCCCAGTTTCACTGTATGTGAAGAGTGAGATGCTTATGCAACATATGGGAATCTTTATTAAGGAAATGTTTCACCACACATGACATCATCATTTTCTAAACCATTTATCACTTCACTGGATGTGTTGAAAATTGTTGTTAGTGGCACACACTGTCTCTGCTCCCTCTCTAAGGACCCATGGAGAGATGTTTTCTGGTCCTACCATCTTTGAGGTATCAAGCTCACTTAACAACTTCTTCACCTCATCCTCGGTTGTGTGTATTTCATCCAGCATTTGGTGGTATATCCCTTGTTGGTGTACCTCCCTATTCTGACTTCCCTGAGTCCTTTCTGTCTCCACTGTAAAAACTTCCTTAAATCTCATGTTGAGCTTCTCACATACTTCTTGGTCGTTTCTTGTGAGCTCCTCACCTTCCTTCCTCAACCTGATTACCTGATCTTTGACTGTTGTCTTCCTCCTGATGTGGCTATACAACAGCTTCGGGTCAGACTTGACTTTTAATGCTATGTCATTTTCATACTGTTGTTGGGCCTCTCTCCTTATCTGTGCATACTCATTTTTGGCTCTTCAACTTATCTCTTTATATTGTGTGTGTGTGTGTGTGTGTTAAAGAATAAGTTTAGACAAAATGTTTTCACAAAAGTACAGTAAAATCTTGATGTAATGGTCCTTGATATAATGGACTTTTAAAATTGTGGGCAAAATCCAGTGGTTAAATTGTGTAACTCCTTTATTTTCGGCGTTTATTGCAGTACAGTAGGACCTCCATATTCGCGGGGATAAGTTCCAATACCTACCATGGATACCTGAAACCACGGATACTAACGAACCTTAGATATCAGTCGTTTCTCATTTACATACCTATGATAAAGTTTAATTGATAAATTACACATAATAAGTCGAGAATTAACACTTTTTCACTGATGAGAAGCACTTCACAGCTTCTCTTAGGCTATGAAGAACTGCCAGCATCACTACTTTTGCACTTTGGGGCCATTATTACACAAAATTAAGGGTTGTTTTTGGGCCATGGTAAGCAGTGGATAACCGGAACAGCGGAAACTGGATCTGTGGATATGGTGGTCCTACTGTATATCTGTAAATTGTGTGTATACTACTATATTAGGTGTACAGTAGACCGTTATATTACATGGATTTATTTGCCACGTTTTGAAAAATTGTGGCATAATTATATACAACGCTTCGTAAAATTAACTTAACACGGTTCCGTTTGAGGATGGGAAAAAATTTGCTCAGCTCAGGCCGCCGCCTGGCAGTGGGTTAGACCATTGTGTCAGAGGGGGAGTCCTACCACCATCCCCTGCCACCCCAGACACCCCCATCCCAGCCTTCATGCATATGTGTCTAGTATGATTCTCTCCTAGGAGCTAGCTGTATTTGTGAATTGTGTTTTGATCTTTTAATTGCCATATTTTGTATCTGCCAAGCAATTATGGCACCTAGTAGATATACGAGTGTTGCTGAAAGTGGTAAGAAAAGGTATAAGTCTTAGAGTTATGAAGAAAATAGAGATATTAGACAAGAGAAAGCATATGGCCGTAATGAAGCATCAGTTTGTGCAATAAAAAATGAATGAGGTAAATACACGAGTTTGTGTAATGAATAACCCACGATGTCATCTCACTTACTGACTTACTGACTGACTGACTGACTGACTTGACTGACTGACTTGACTGACTGACTTGACTGACTGACTTGACTGACTGACTGACTGACTTGGCTTACTGACTTGCGACTTACTGAACTTACTGGTTATGACTTGACCTTATTGACTTATTTGACTGATTTACTGACTGACTAATTTGACCAACTTACTTGACTGACTACTGTCTTGACTGACTTACTGATAGACTTGCTTGAATGACTGACTTGCTGGATTTACTTGACTTACTTATTGACTGACTTACTGACTTGACTTTACTGATCTACTAACTTAAAGTTACACTTTTTCACTGAAATGGACCCTGACAAATCTAGAAGCAGTGCTCTGAAGCACTGTTTAGAGCAGCTGATGCCTTACTGTCAGTTGTATAATGTACTGCGGGGTAAAATAGAACAGAAATTCATTACAGAATTTATGCACACTCCAGTACAACCATCGACTTCATTACCAGAACCTCTGCCATCTACCTCAGCCCAGTAGGGCCACAGCATAACTCTCCACTTTCTTTACAATCATCAACAAACACCAGCACCCACAATTTAAGGTAAGAAATTCGATTATTTCTGTTGCCTTTGTAGTCTTAAGTAGTAAAAGCAACATAATACATCACAGCAATGAACAACAACAATTACATATTCACTTTTATTTTTGTAAGAGCTGGAGGTCTAAAAAAAAGTTGTTTGGCTTTTTTGGGGCTCCCAGGAATGTAACCCTATTTTTCCCATAAGTTCTTCAGTTTATCTAACAGATTTACCTAACACGACATTTTCAGGAACATAACTACTCTGTAATATAACGGTCTACTGTACTTTTTTTTTTGGCCTTTTTTAACATTATTCTGACAATATCCCTATTAGTCTTATATACTGAGGGTTTACTGTATTCTCACTGTCATTTTTCACGCATAATTATTGATCGATTTTGACGTGTTTATCCCAGGAAATCATAAATCGTCGAAAGATGGCAGAAAACAACATTAATCTTGCCCTGGTTGAGGATAGGGAAGATGAAAATGGAAAAAGTATTCACATCAAACTTCCAGGAACCAGACAAGGTGATATGTCTTGTAGAGCCTTCAGACCGGAGGTTCGTGTCACCTCGCTCACATTCTCACCAACAGGTAACTACAGTGTCATCCGTTGTATTGCTACATTTCTGAAATACAGTAGGGCCCCATTTATACTGCAGGTAAGGTTCCAGGCTACTGCCAGAAAGTGAACATCACCAGAAAGCAGAATACCATTTTTTTCACTTATAAATTATATAAATGCTAGATAACAAGTTTACACTAACATACATTAAGTTAGAAATGGAACTAGGCATTAAAAACAATAAAAAGTTAAATACACATAAAGTACACTCATTACTTACCTTAAAATATTTGTAGTCTTAATGTAGGGTGAGAAGTCAGGTGTGGGAGGTATGGTAGCCAGCCAGGCCACCCCACCTACACGTAATGTACTACATCATTTAAAGCGCCCTAGAGTGATAAAATACATGTACAGTTCACTCATTACTTACCTTAATGTAGAGTGAGAGGTGAGTAAATGAGGTAAAACGAATAAACGAGAGAGAGAACGAGCAAACGAACGCATCTGGTTATGGTTCATACAAATACCTCATTGTGTACAAGTTGTGTCCACATTGGTACAGTAGAATAAATAAAGAGGTACACTCACATTCTCATGTAAAACACCATTATTAGAAGGAATGATGCTCAGAGTGAAGGCATACGAAAGGAATAATTTTCTACAGTTACACCCAGTAATACTCTTGTGTATACATTTTATGTGGTGTTGAACTAGAGAAAACATTATTCTTTCCAACACTCCAACAAGACGACTGGTAAAACATCTCATATTTATGTTAATTTATTCTACTGTGGGGTGTATTTATCATGTTTATATATTATGTAGCATGTTTATTATATAATTTTGAAAAAAAAATCGTCGATGGATTAATGAAAATGCCTATATTAACGTAATATATGACATTTAGTGTGCCTCAGAGCGATTATTATTGCATATTATTTTCATTATTAATATGACATCTTCAAAACTAATAAGACAGTCTTAAACTTACACACTGTGCATGCCAGCACAGTGTGTAAGTTTATTTAGGTACAGGTACACATAGATATAATTATCAGAGTACAGTGAACCCCCAACTTACGATATTAATCTGTTCTAGAGAGCTCATCGTTAGATGAAATTATTGTAAGTCGAATTAATTTTCCCCATAAGAAATAATGGAAATCCAATTAATCAGTTCCAGACACCCAAAAGTATGAAAATTTTTTTTTAACACATGAAATATACATTTTCCTGCACACAAAAAGAAGGATACATGCACAATATACGTACTGTACTAAATGAAGAATAAATGACACTTACCTTTATTGAAGATGTAGTGATGTGTGATGAGATGGCAGGAGGGGAGATTGAAGTGTATTAATTTTTGGAAGGGAAATCCCCTTCCATAAGGACTTTAACCCTTTGAGGGTTTTGGTCGTACTAGTACGTCTTACGCGTAGGGGTTTTTGACGTACTAGTACGCATAAATTCTAGCGGCCTCAAATCTCGCAGGAAAAGGCTGATAAGCCTAGATGTGAGAGAATGGGTCTGTGTGGTGGGTGTGCGCAGTAGGAAAAAAATCTGGGACCCAGTGGTGCATTGTGGGAATGCCATCATAGTACACAATTTCCACGTGCCCTGCGGTAAGAAGTTCCTCACTCCTCGGCGAATTGGGACACTTTTGTTCCCCAGTGACAGTTCTAATACAGATGGAAGTGACAGTGAAGATGAGTTTCAAGTTTCTGGTGAGGTTTTGACCGAAACTAATGACCATAATATGGGTAATAGTGAGGAAAACCCAGACAAACCCACAGCCTTCCACCTCTGGTGCTGGCCGTCGTTCAGTTGTACCAGAATCAAAGAGGAAACTCCTATTTTCCAAAATCCCAGACTCAGATGTGAGCATTGGTGATGATAATGATAGTGATTATGAACTACAAGCCTTCAAACTTGTTCCAAGAATGGAGGAGGAGGAGGAGGCAGAGGAGGAGGAGGCAGAGGAGGAGGAGGCAAGAGGAGGAGGAGGCAGAGGAGGAGGAGGCAGAGGAGGAGGAGGAGGAGGAGGAGGAGGAGGAAGAAGAAGAGGAGGAGGGTGGAACACTAGTACACTGGTACTGGTACACTAACATTTCTGTCTGTCTATTTGTCTGTCTGTCAAGCTCCCTGTCTATCTGTCTATCCGTCTAGCTCTCTGTCTCAGAGAGCCACAAGACTGTGTCAAAACTTTTACTCACATCTTCAAGCAGAGTATAGCACTTTGTCTGGATTTCTTGGGTTATCCTAGGTAATTTATACTATGTATACTTGTATTTATGTGTACCTGTGAGACAGAGATAGACAGACAGATAGAAAGAGAGAGACAGATTGAAAGAGATAGAATGAGGGAGAAAGATAAAACACCATTGTGTATGACACCATGTTTCAGAGTTCCACAAGCTGCAGAACTAATAGGAATATGTTCAGTGACTGTATATTGGTATATATATTATAGAACAATAATAATAAACAATGTTTTGTATTTTTTTGTTTTTGTAAACAAGTTTTGTAAACAATATATTGATAATTATGTTTGTGTGCTTATTGTGTTGTATACAACGAGTGTATAGATGTACATTGCACCTTATTTTGGTCTCATAGGCCACATAAGTTATGTGAAAAAATAAAATAGTGAAAAAAACAACAAACCTTCAAATACAAGTAAATCAAAGTTTACCGGGTGAGCGGCAGTCGCCGCTGTTGCCATACGCGGCTCATTTTCTGCAAACTTCATGCATCCATATCTCCGTAAGTATTGATGGTAAAATTTTTTTGTTTATCCTATAATGTTTAGAAAAAAAAACTCTATTTTTTCATAAGAAAAAATAATTTTTTTTTTTTTTTGAAATTTGGCCGACCCTGAGAACGAGTTTCGGAGAGGGCCTGTCGACCCTCAAAGGGTTAAGTAGCAAGTCCTTTTCCAGGGTTACTTCCCTTCTTCTTTTAATGCCACTGGGAACAACTTGAGAGTCACTGGACCTCTGTCGCACCAAAAATCTGTCCATAGAGCTCTGTACCTTGTGTTCCTTTAAGATTTTCCTAAAGTGGTTCACAACATTGTCATTGTAAAAGTCACCAGCACGGCTGCAATAGCTGTGTCAGGGTGATTTTCCTCCATAAAGGTTTGCACCTTTGACCACATTGTACACATTTCCTTAATCATTGAAGAAGGCAACTTCCTCAATTTCTCTCTCCCCTCCTCTGAAGCAGTTTCCTCAGTAGTGGCCTCTTGCTGTTGCAGATGCTCTTGCAGCTCATCAGTGGTTAGTTCTTCATTGTTGTCTTCCACCAACTCTTCCACATCCTCCCCACTAACCTCCAACCCCAAGGACTTCCCTAACTGGCATAGGGGCCTGGGGGTTAGCCCCAAATCCTTCAAAATCCCTCTCCTACACATTTTGGCTACAATTTCCTCCAAGCAGAGTTCAAGGTCCTGTTAGTCACTCCCTCCCAAGCCTTACCTATAAGGTTTATGCAATTGAGAATACTAAAGTGATCTTTCCAAAACTCTCTTAGGGTTAGTCGAGTGTTTGAGGTCACTTCAAAGCACTTTTGAAACATTGCTTTGGTGTACAATTTTTTGAAATTTGAAATCACCTGCTGATCCATGGGCTGGAGGAGAGGAGTGGTATTAGGAGCCAAGAATTTCACTTTGATAAAACTCAAGTCCCCCGAAATTCGCTCTGGCAAGTCTGAAGGATGAGCAGGAGCATTGTCTGATACCAGGAGGCACTTAAGGTCGAATTTATTTTCAAGGAGGTAATTTTTCACAGTGGGGCCAAACACATGGTAAAACCAATCATAGAAAATGTCCCTAGTGACCCATACCTTACTGTTTGCCCTCCACATCACACACAAATTAGCCTTGACGACATTGTTTTTCCTGAACACTCTGGGAATTTCAGAGTGATACACAAGTAGAAGCTTCACTCTGCAATCCCAGTAGCATTACTACACAACATTAAAGTAACCCTGTCCTTCATAGGCTTGTGTCCTGGAAGTGCTTTTTCCTCCTGTGTAATGTAGGTCCTGTTTGGCATTTTCTTCTAAAACAAGCCTGTTTCATTACAATTAAACACTTGTTGGGGTTGCAATCCTTCAGCCTCTATGTACCCCTGGAATTCCTGCACATATTTTTCAGTCACTTTTTGGTCCGAACTGGCAGCCTCACCATGCCTTATCACACTGTGTATGCCACTACGATTCTTAAATCTCTCAAACCATCCTATGCTGGCCTTAAATTCACTCACATCACCACTAGTTGCAGGCATTTTAATTAAATCGTCATGCAACTGCCTAGCCTTTTCACATATGATCGCTTGTGAGATGCTATCTCCTGATATCTGTTTTTCGTTTATCCACACCAATAACAGTCTCTCAACATCTTCGAGTACTTGTGATCTATGTTTCGAAAAGATACTTGCACCTTTTGCAACAACAGCTTCTTCGATTGCTTTTTTGTTGGCCAAGATAGTAGCGATGGTTGATTGAGGTTTGTTGTACAAACTGGCCAGCTCGGAGACATGTACTCCACTCTCATATTTTGTGATTATCTCTTTTTTCATTTTGGTAGTAATTTTTACCCTTTTAACCACAGGGTTGGCACTAGAAGCTTTCTTTGGACCCATGGTGGCTTATTTAGCAGTGACAAGCACTAAAAACACTGGAATAATACAAAATATACCGAATGTATGCATGGGAACGACCACTCTGGCTAGTAAACATTGGCACACTAAGTGAAGGCAGGGCAGCTAAGGCGCGCTCAGGCCAGAGGGACGTGTGGACGCGTTCGGGATGAATGATGTAAGTCGAGTTTTTGTTCGTATGTCGGGGGAAATTTTTTACGCTGAAACACTTCGTAAGTCAATTTTATCGTTAGATGAGGCCTTCGTAAGTTGGGGTTAACTGTATATATAAAACATGAAATAACTTTAAAACACTTGAAATTTTGGAAAGTTTCCAGTCATAATAGAGAGATGTGGTGCTCACGGAGAATGTAAACGATCCAGGTGGTGCGCGGTGACCATATTAGAAAGTCAGGTGGGGGGAGCCGTATAGCGAGTTTTGGTCATAATTGAAATGTCCGTATTAGCAGAACTTTGTAAGACGAAACACCGTAAAGTGGGGCTATACTGTACTTTACTACTTTACTTCATATTTGATTACCTAATTAAAATTACATCTAAGAGGTGTTTTCCAACTTGGCTCATTCTTATAAGTTGTATCATATTACTGGGTAATATTGTTAATTAATAGGTAAGATTAATCTGAGCTTAAATAATACAGTATATAATGTACACTGATCAGTGAGAGAGGAAGTCCTACACAAGACAGTAATAAGGATGAATGGCAGTTTGTATATTTCAACCTCTAGCTGAGGTCCTCTTCAGCAGAATATGAAGGAATGAGGAGAGCACTCAGGTGCTGTATTTATCCTGGTGATAATAGTATAAATAAATAAAGTTTTATTTCTTTGCTAAGGTTACAATGTGCGTGTACATTTCATAATTTGATTGGTACAAAGAAAGCCACTATCGTGCCATGGCAGTTCAGGCAGACTTAACCTAATACTTAACCCTTTGACTGTTGCAACCCCCAATCCTGAGGCGTCTCCTGGTGTCGCAAAATTTAAAAAAAAAAAAATAGATTATTTTTTCTTATGAAATGATAGAGAGTCTTTTCTCGATTGTAATGACACCAGAAAAACGAAAATTTGATGGAAAAGTGACGGAATTATGCTCTCGCGAAGTTAGCGACTGTGGCGATATTTACAAATCGGCGATTTCACCCACTTTGAGCCCTATTTTCGGCTAACTCCATTGTTCCAGTCGACCAAACTCATAGCTATTTCTTTAGAACTCCATTTTTTCTATCGATTGAGTACAAGAAACTGCCCATTTACCGATTTCAACTACCCAGTAACGTGGTCAGAAATTTGCAATTTGGCCAATTTCACGAAAATTAAAAAATATGACAATTTCAAAATAAGGTCCAGAATGAACAATGCAGACATTCCTGGCTCTAAAATAACATTTTCTTTGTTCATCAGTCACATCTCCAGGCTCCTCTGATATTACTCTTGCTTTCTATTTTGAATTTTTATTCAAACAAAAAATAGAAGATTTACTGTTATGCAGACTACTGCAATATTGTAATAATTGTATAAATAACATCAACCCATTCATGACCGCATATTAGAATGGGTAGTTGGACATTTATTGGACAATGACATCATTTGTTTACTTTTGAACACTTGCAAAAAATCAAATATTTCCCCTACTTTGAGCTCCATTTCCAGGTTCTTTTTATAGTAAAATCAATCAAAATCACCTCTGTTTCTATAATATGTTTTTCATTCTATCAAATGAGACCAAGAAAACGAGAATACAACCATAAATACTATACAAAAATAGACCACAAAGTCGGCATTTTAATTAAAAAAAACGGTCGGAGTTTTTTTTTTTCTCATTATGCACTGCGTGCTCCAGGATTTTTTTTTATATGGTGTACACTGACCACACAGACCCAGTCTCTCACATGTGAGCCTACCAGCTTTCTCCTGCTTGATTTGAAGCTGCTAGAATTTATGAGTATATATACGTCAAACACGGTACCTCGTAAGATGTATATATACGACCGCGACAGTCAAAGGGTTAAAGACTACTTAAGTCTAGACAGGTGAAAGTGGTAGTATACAAATATTCAATATTTTGCTCTATTATTAATACAGTGGACCCCTGGATAACGTAATTAATCCATTCCAGAGAGAGTGTCTTATACTGAATCTGACTTAATCTGAATTAATTTTCCCCATAAGAAATAATGGAAATCCAATTAATCTGTTCCAGACACCCAAAGGTATTAAAAAAAATAATTTTTTTTACATGAAATATACATTTCCCTACACAGAAAACAATGAGACATGCAGAGTAAAATATTACTGAAATGACACTTACCTTTATTGAAGACTTATTGATGAGTGATGGGATGGGAGAAGGGGAGAGGATGGAGGTGTACTATTGTTTGGAAGGGGAATCCCCTTCCATAAAGACTTCAGGTACAATTCCTTTTCTGGGGTTACTCCCTAGAACCAGCTTGAGAGTCACTGCACACCTGTGGCACTAAATATCTGTCCAGAGAGCTGTGTTTCTGGCATCTCTACAATGACAATGTTGTGTCCCTAAAATGGGACACAACATTGTCATTGTAGATGTTGCCAGCACGACCTGCAACAGCTGTGTCAGGGTGATGTTCATCCATAAATGTTTGCACATTAGAAAGCAGGAACACTGCAGCAGGCCTGTTGGCTCATACTAGGCAGGTCCTTCACAAACCATCCCACTAACAGAATTGTATTTGCCCAACCCAATTTTCAGTGCTTCCCAAGCAATAAGCTTTGATGATTCTATTCACTCATGCACAAGTCCTACTAAAATCAGATTGTGTGTGGGGAAGTACCCTTGCTGGTGTGTGGGGAAGTACCCTGGCTGGTATGTGGGGAAGTACCCTGGCTGGTATGTGGGGAAGTACCCTGGCTGGTGTGTGGGGAAGTACCCTGGCTGGTGTGTGGGGAAGTACCCTGGCTGGTGTGTGGGGAAGTACCCTGGCTGGTGTGTGGGGAAGTACCCTGGCTGGTGTGTGGGGAAGTACCCTGGCTGGTGTGTGGGGAAGTACCCTGGCTGGTATGTGGGGAAGTACCCTGGCTGGTGTGTGGGGAAGTACCCTGGCTGGTATGTGGTGAAGTACCCTGGCTGGTATGTGGGGAAGTACCCTGGCTGGTGTGTGGGGAAGTACCTTGGCTGGTGTGTGGGGAAGTACCCTGGCTGGTGTGTGGGGAAGTACCCTGGCTGGTGTGTGGGGAAGTACCCTGGCTGGTATGTGGGGAAGTACCCTGGCTGGTGTGTGGGGAAGTACCCTGGCTGGTGTGTGGGGAAGTACCCTGGCTGATGTGTGGGGAAGTACCCTGGCTGGTATGTGGGGAAGTACCCTGGCTGGTGTGTGGGGAAATACCCTGGCTGGTGTGTGGGGAAGTACCCTGGCTGGTGTGTGGGGAAGTACCCTGGCTGGTGTGTGAGGAAGTACCCTGGCTGGTGTGTGGGGAAGTACCCTGGCTGGTGTGTGGGGAAGTACCCTGGCTGGTGTGTTTACCTGGAGTTTACCTGGAGAGAGTTCCGGGGGTCAATGCCCCCGCCGCCCGGTCTGTGACCAGGCCTCCTTAGGTCAGTGTCCCAGGATGCGACCCACACCAGTCGACTAACACCCAGGTACCCATTTTACTGATGGGGAACATAGACAACAGGTGGAAAGAAACACGTCCAATGTTTCTACTCTGGCTGGGAATCGAACCCAGGCCCTCACCGTGTGAAGCGAGAGCGTTAACCACCAGGTGGGGAAGTACTCTGGCTGGTATGTAGGGAAGTACCCTGGCTGGTGTGTGGGGAAGTACCCTGGCTGGTGTGTGGGGAAGTACCCTGGCTGGTGTGTGGGGAAGTACCCTGGCTGGTGTGTGGGGAAGTACCCTGGCTGGTATGTGGGGAAGTACCCTGGCTGGTGTGTGGGGAAGTACCCTGGCTGGTGTGTGGGGAAGTACCCTGGCTGGTGTGTGGGGAAGTACCCTGGCTGGTGTGTGGGGAAGTACCCTGGCTGGTATGTAGGGAAGTACCCTGGCTGGTATGTAGGGAAGTACCCTGGCTGGTGTGTGGGGAAGTACCCTGGTTGGTGTACCACCATCACTACTGCCCTCTACCACCACCACTTTCATATCTTTCTACAAACTTTTTCTTGAATTCTGTAGTGTTTCTCACCCTCTTTACCAAAGGGCTGGCACTAGAAGCTTTCTTTGGGCCCATGGTGGCTTATTTAGCAGTTACAAGCACTAAAAACAATGGAATAATACAAAATGTATTGCATGTACGTGTGGAATCATCCTCACTGGCTGGTAAACAATGGCACACTGGTTGTACATGGAGTATCTGGGGCACTCGCAGCACACGGACACATTCGGGACAAATGACTTTAACTGAGTTCAGTGTCGTTAACCGAGCCAATATTTTGATGGAAAAATGTTACTTAATTCGATTATTACTTAATCCGATGACGTCTTAATCTGGAGGTCCACTGTATTGAACATGCTGTTTGCATATGAACTTGGTAATAACAGTGATGGGATTTGGGAAACTTGTCATTTGGACTGAGTTCTGGAAGTTGGAGGAATAATTCTTACACTCTAACGGAAAGTTAGAGATGTTATGGGTCTGTAGATCATTTGAATAATGGTGTCTGTGTATTATGAAACAAAATTGACTAGGAAATGAGCAATGATGAATGTGTTGCCTTCTATGGCTCTCTACCTTGGTAGAAAAGATCAGTTGTCTTAGACAAGAAAACATAAATATCACATGCACATACGGTACATGTACATACAGCTCATACATAGAGGTAAGTACGTACACACATACAGATAGACATTATGTATATACAATATATATTTAATTCATGTTATTTTTTCTCAAGGTCGGAGTTGGGCAGCAAGCAGCAGTGAAGGACTTCTAGTATATTCTCTGGACAATGACTGGCTGTTTGATCCACTCAGCTTAGACATCTCCAACACACCTTCAGCTATTAAACAAAAATTGAAAGAGAAAGACTACATGGCAGGTAAGATGATGTACTCTTGATGTAGAGTACAAGGCTGGTAAGTTGATGTACTCTTGGTGTACAGTACATGGCAGGTATGATGAAGTATTCTTGATGTAGAGTACAAGGCAGATAAGATGAGGTACTCTTGGTGTACAGTACAAGGCAGGTAAGATGAGGTACTCTTGGTGTACAGTACAAGGCAGGTAAGATGAGGTACCCTTGATGTACAGCACATGGCAGAAAAGATGATGATATGCAGTACAAAACTTGTAAGATGGTCTACTCTTGATATAAGTACATGGCAAATAATATGGTGCACTCTTGATAGTTTCCACTAAGAACTTGTATTCGTCAATAATAAAGAAATTGTCAGTGATGAAGAATTTGTAATTGGATTCAAATTATCTAAGGTGGGAGAAGAATATTTTTTTTTTTTTTTTTTTTAGTCAAAACTATATCCTGTATTTTCTCAATCTGTACTTTTTGTTTTCATAGCAGTAGTTTTTCTTGCCTTATGTCCTGCCGATGCTGCCCGCTATTTTTATTTTCATTGTTGTTGGTGTGATAATAATATCATGAGCTCAGCTCACTCAGGTAAGCTGTGAGCAGTAAATTTGGGCCTAGATATGAAAGACTGCATCTGTGTGGTGAGTGTGCACAGTATAAAAAAATCCTGCTCCATGTGGTGCATGATGGGAAAAACAAAACAGTTGCAGTGCGTATGGCTTAAAAAAGCAACTTTGATGGTTTTTATGGTTTTATTTGCCATTTCTGTGTATCATTTAATAGAATGGAAGATATTATGGAAATAGAAATGATTTTGATTGGTTTTAGGACTGGAAGTAATATGAAATTGAACTCGAAGTAGTGAAAATATTAAATTTTTGCCGATATTCCAGAGGGCAGGTAAGACACCTTATAGCCCTCAGTCTGTTTTAATAGGCCTGATTCAATTATTGGGACACTGTAAACCATGACCAATCTTTCCTGGTTATATTTAATTAAAAAATAGAGCAAATCTTTAATTTTTGTGTGAAACAATTGAAAATGGGAGGAAAGTGTAGTATAGGAGAAGCCTAGGATGTGATTAATGAACAGAGGAAATGTTGCTTTAGTGCCAGAAATCTCTACATTGTTTATTATGGACTCTTTTTAAATTGGTATTTTTTTTTTTTTTGTAAAATTGGCCAAATTACTGAATTCTGTGAACTTTGTAGGGTACTTAAAATAGTTGAATAAGTGTTTCTTGTGCTCAGTCAATAAATGGAAGGTGTACTAGCAAAATAGCTAAGAATTTGGTCAAAAAATGGAACAGTGGAATTGGCTTAAAATAGAACTCGAAAGTGGACAAAATCACCATTGCATAAATTGTGCCAAAACCACTAATTTTACACCTGCATAATTCCATAAATTTTCCACCAGATTTTATCTTGCTTCACTAGTATGTCTTCAGTTCTATCAGTTGATACCAAGAAACAGTTGCTGTTTTAATTAAACCAAACACAAGGTCATAGGTTTATTTCCCTTATCATGCACAGTGTGGAGGCAGGATTTTTATTTATACATTGCAAACTCACTGCACAGACCCATTCTCTCATGTATATAACAAAATTTACCATTCACAGCATATTTGAAGGCACTTTGCGTAAAATGTAGATCTACGTGAGTGGCATTGGCATTTTGCACTTAAACCATCTCTGATCAAGGGTACACTTGTTTGCACACTTTCCTGCCTGCTCGCACACTGAGAGTAAGATAAGGTTTTCTCAAGGATCAAATCACATGAAAATTAAGTGGCTCACATTTTTTTTGTTTTCTCCTGAATCTAGTCAGTCAGCATTTTTTTCTAGTTCAGAAGACTTATCATCTTGAAGTGAGTGGAGAGGGTGGCTGTGGCCCTACTGGGTCATAGTTAACCCTTTGACTGTCGCAACCTCCAATCCTGAGGTGTCTCCTGGTGTCGCAAAATTTAACCCTTTGACTGTCGCAACCCCCAATCCTGAGGTGTCTCCTGGTGTCGCAAAATTTAAAAAAAAAAAAAATTATTTTTTCTTATGAAATGATAGAGAATCTTTTCCCGATTGTAATGACACCAAAAAAACGAAATTTGATGGAAAACTGACGGAATTATGCTCTTGCGAAGTTAGCGACCTCGGCGCTGTTTACAAATCGGCGATTTCGCGCACTTTGAGCCCTATTTTCGGCTAATTCCATTGTTCCAGTTGCCCAAACTCATAGCTGTTTCTTTAGAACTTCATTTTTTCTATCGATTGAGTACAAGAAACTGCCCATTTACCGATTTCAACTACCTAATAATGTGGTCAGAAATTTGCAATTTGGCCAATTTCACGAAAACTAAAAAATATGACAATTTCAAAATAAGGTCCAGAATGAACAATGCAGACATTCCTGGCTCTAAAATAACATTTTCTTTGCTCATCAGTCATGTCTCCAGGCCCCTCTGATGTTACTCTTGCTTTCTATTTTGAATTTTTATTCAAACAAAAAATAGAAGACTTACTATTACGCAGACTACTCCAATACTGTAATAATTGTATAAATAACATCAATCCATTCATGACTGCATATTAGAATGGCTAGTTGGACATTTATTGGACAATGGCATCATTTGTTTACTTTTGAACATTGGCAAAAATCAAACATTTCCCCTACTTTGAGCTCCATTTCTAGGTTTTTTTTATAGTAAAATCAATCAAAATCACCTCTATTTCTATAATATTTTTTCCATTCTATCAAATGAGACCAAGAAAACGAGAATACAACCATAAATACTATATGAAAATAGACCACAAAGTCGGCATTTTAATTAAAAAAAACGGTCGGAGATTTTTTTTTCTCATTATGCACTGTGTGCTCCAGGATTTTTTTATATGGTGCACACTGACCACACAGACCCATTCTCTCACATGTGGGCCTACCAGCTTTCTCCTGCTTGATTTGAAGCCGCTAGAATTTATGAGTATATATACGTCAAACACGGTACCTCGTAAGACATATATATACGGCCGCGACAGCCAAAGGGTTAAAAAAAAAAACAAATTATTTTTCTTATGACATGATAGAGAATCTTTTCCCGATTGTAGTAACACCAAAAACACGAAATTTGATGGAAAACTGATGGAATTAAGCTCTCGCAAAGTTAGCGACCTTGGCAATATTTACAAATCTGTGATTTCGCTCACTTTGAGCCCTATTTTCGGCTAATTCCATTGTTCCAGCCGACCAGACTCGTAGCTATTTCTTTAGAACTCCGTTTTTTTCTATCGATTGAGTACAAGAAACTGCCCATTTACCGATTTCAACTACCCAATAACGTGGTCAGAAATTTGCAATTTGGCCAATTTCACGAAAATTAAAAATATGACAATTTCAAAATAAGGTCCAGAATGAACAATGCAGACATTCCTGGCTCTAAAATAAAATTTTCTTTGTTCATCAGTCATATCTCCAGGCTCCTCTGATATTACTCTTGCTTTCTATTTTGAATTTTTATTCAAATAAAAAATAGAAGATTTACTGTTATGCAGACTACTGCAATACTGTAATAATTGTATATTATTAGAATGGCTAGTTGGACATTTATTGGACAATAACATCATTTGTTTACTTTTGAACATCGGCAAAAATCAAACATTTCCCCTACTTTGAGCTCCATTTCCAGGTTCTTTTTATAAAATCAATCAAAATCACCTCTATTTGTATAATATGTTTTCCATTCTATCAAATGAGACCAAGAAAACGAGAATACAACCATAAATACTATACGAAAATAGACCACAAAGTCGGCATTTTAATTAAAAAAATGGTCAGTTTTTTTTTTTCTCATTATGCACTGCATGCTCCAGGATTTTTTTTATATGGTGCACACTGACCACATAGACCCATTCTCTCACATGTGGGCCTATCAGCTTTCTCCTGCTTGATTTGAATTTATGAGTATATATAGTATATATAGGTTGGCAGACAGCAACCACCCAGGGAGGTACTACCGTCCTGCCAAGTGAGTGTAAAACGAAAGCCTGTATTTGTTTTACATGATGGTAGGATTGCTGGTGTCTTTTGTCTGTCTCATAAATATGCAAGATTACAGGCATGTCTTGCTACTTCTACTTACACTTAGGTCACACTACACATACATGTACACGTTTATTTATACACACTCATCTGAGTTTTCTTTGATTTTATCTTAATAGTTCTTGGTCTTATTACTTCTCCTTTTATATCCATGGGGAAGTGGAATAAGAATCTTTCCTCCGTAAGCCATGCGTGTTGTAAAAGTCAACTAAAATGCCGGGAACAATGGGCTAGTAACCCCTTTTCCTGTAAAGATTACTAAAAAGAATAATAATAAGAAAATTGTCAAAGTGGGAAGTCTGAATGTGCGTGGATGTTGTGCAAATGATAAGAAAGAGATGATTGTGGATGTTATGAATGAGAAGAAACTGGATGTCCTGGCTTTAAGTGAAACAAAGCTGAAGGGGGTGGGAGAGTTTCAATGGAGAGGAATAAATGGGATTAGGTCAGGGGTTTCAAATAGAGTTAGAGCTAAAGATGGAGTAGCAATAATGTTGAAGGATAAGCTATGACAGGAAAAGAGGGACTACAAATGTATTAATTCAAGGATTATGTGGAGTAAAATAAAGATTGGATGTGAAAAGTGGGTTATAGTAAGCGTGTATGCACCTGGAGAAGAGAGAAGTGTAGAGGAGAGAGAGAGATTTTGGGAAATGTTGAGTGAATGCGTGGGGAGTTTTGAATCAAGTGTGAGAGTAATGGTGGTTGGGGATTTCAATGCTAAAGTGGGTAAAAATGTTATGGAGGGAGTAGTAGGTAAATTTGGGGTACCAGGGGTAAATGTAAATGGGGAGCCTTTAATTGAGCTATGCGTAGAAAGAAATTTGGTAATAAATAATACATATTTTATGAAAAAGAGGATAAATAAATATACAAGGTATGATGTAGCACGTAATGAAAGTAGTTTATTAGATTATGTATTG